GAAGCCAAGGGGCCAAGAGTGTCGAGGGCGTTACATTTACCAAAGCTGATGACTTCAGTTTTATTTTCATTTAAATTCAGGAATTTCAGTTTCAACCACATTTTAATGTCATTTTGACAGTGCAACAGTGGTTCCAGTGCTGTCACCCTGTGGCCCTTTTTCCCTCTTTCAAACTGTTTTTGTGTTGTTAGCATCCAAATAATTAATTTAGTTTCAAAATTCAATAAAGGCGTTCAGCATAAACTAAAAATATTTACATTGTGTCTGTAAAATGAAGGTTTTCTTGTATTTAACTAAGCTTTTCTGGAAACGGGGCTTGTGTAACGTCCTCTTATTTTCTGCAGGCATCAACTTGCAGTTGTTGTTCAGAATGTATTGCAAACATGAATATTCATCTTAACGAGAAAAATCATCAGTTAACCATTATCTGTCCAACTGTTTATGTGCAGCCGAATCACGTGGGGGAAGTTTGTGAACTGCGGTCAGACATGCATCGCTCCAGACTACATTCTTTGTGAACCTTGCATTCAGGGGCAGGTGGTTGAATGCATCCGACAGACGCTACAGGTAACGGTCACCTGAACCCTGCTGCGAGTGGTATTTAACAGCAAACCTGCACTGTGTGGAGCTTTATCAACGTTTATTTCATCCATCACAGGAGTTTTATGGCGCAGATCCCAAATGTTCACCTGACTATGGCCGAATCATCAACCAGCAGCACTTTAACAGAATCATGACTCTGATGGAGGGTTACACTCCCGTGGTGGGGGGACAAAGTGATTCGTCACAGTGCTACATAGGTAAGAAATAAAGCTGTGGACAAAAGCTTGACTGTCCAGAGTGGAATGATTATGATACTCTTGTGGGCGGAGTGGTTAGAGCAGCTGTCATCCAACGAGAGAGTTGGGGTTCGAGTCCAGCAGTAGTCACATTTTGAAGTGCCCCTGAGCAAAACGCTGAATACATTACCTCTGATGTGTGTCCCATCAGTGTATGAACGTGATAAAGCTCTGATTATTCTCTTTAGAACGTTCGATTAGCTTTGTAGAGATGTATGTAGCCCACCTTTACCCTCTGTACCAGGTAAGAGCCTACTAGATTCTTATATGTAGCATTAAAGACTAAATGTTAACTATTTTTTTAATTGCTGAACTTCAAGTCTAACGTATCCTTTAACACACCCGATTATCTCCTAATTTCCTTTTAATGCACATGGTGGTCATCTCACACACTCTGTTAAACTAAAAATAACCAAACCATAAGGTTAATGTGAACCCAGTTTACTTTAAACACTGAACAACATATACAATAAAACACACAACTGCATCTGTCGTCAGATTATTCACTGTAAATCTTCAACTCTGTGTGACGGACCTGCTCACCAGTCAAACACACAGACACCTGCCGGTTTATCCAGCTCTAAAACCTTAAAGTTGCAGGTCTGAGCGAAGCTTGGGAGCGCTGAGGCCCAAAACTTAACGGCCGTTTCACTTTTTGAGCAAATAAATAAAACAAAGCAGTACCTGGTTTAGTAGTTGAGTGCACACAGACTCTGGTCCCAGTTCAGGTGAAGAGGAAAACCAAACCACGTCCTAAGATGGTGATGCAATCGTCCATCTGCTGGTCCAGGTTTAACTCCAATGAGCGATGTCCAGGAGTAGAACAAGAAGAAATATATAATCCAAAGGCACTCTTCTGCAGTCCATAAACACTCCAGTTGTGACTAGTCTTCACATCCAGGTCAGGACGATGAAGAGGCAGTCTCCTTGGTAAACTGAACTAGGTTTCCTGCAGCATTCACTTAGCTAGCGAATGCTAACTGTTCAATGCTAAACTGCCTCCAAGAGCAAAAACTCATAAAACTGCAGAACAAACTTGGAGCTGAAAATGTCCACAGGTTGACCAAAAACCATTAAACACTTCTTTAAACTGTAACATTTTATGAATTTAATCAATTCCCTAACAGTTGTCTGGGTTACATGTAGTAGAGTTTTATTTTATTTTATTTCATTTACCCTTTATTTATCCAGGTAGTCTCATTGAGTCACAAGAACTCATTTTCAAGACAGACTTGTTTGGGAGCAGATGGTGGGGGTTAAGGGCCTTGCTGAAGGACCCAGAGTGGGCGAATGAGGGTGGAGGCAGATGTGGGTGTTTCACCTTTACCACCCACATTTTGATGTTGTCAGTCCGGGGAGTTGAACCTGCGACTTTTCGATCACAGGCCCGTCTTCTCTAACCTCTGCACCACCACTCCCCAAAGTGATGTATGAATGTGTGTCGTGCCCAGGGACACTTCAGTGCATGACTGACTGCTGGTGGAATCAAACCCCCAACTCTCCCGTTGGAGGACAGCTGCTCTAACCACTCAGCTGCAGCTGCCCCTCTGGGGAAAAAATGGTTCTAGTAAAGCGAAATTAAAAAACTCGCGAGATATCCTAGCATTGACTAGTCGACTCAGCTGTTAGTCTAGACGTGACAAATGCATGGACCAGTTTTTCTGCATCATCTTTAGATCAGATGTTTCTAATGTTAGTGATATTACGCAGGTGGAAGAAGGAGGTTCTAGTAACGTTTGTAATGTGGGGGATAAAAGACATGTCCTGATCAAAAATAACACCAAGGATTTTTAACATTAGAGCTGGAGGACAGATTAATGCATCTAAGGAGGGAGAAAGACTGAAAAATTAATTCCTATGGTGCTCAGGTCCAAAAACCAAACCTCAGTCTTTGTGTTCAAGAGGAGAAAATTAAGGTTCATCCAGGTTTTTATGTCTTTAAGACATGCTTGTAGTCTAAGTAGCTGATTGGATTCATTGGGTTTAATGGACAAATATAACTGTGTATCATCAGCATAACAATGAACATTTATCCCATGCTGTTTAATAACTTTACCTAATGGAAACATATACTGCATAAGGTAAAGAGTATTGGTCCAAGCACTGAACCTTGAGGAACTCCATGACTAACTTTGGTGTATGATGACTGGATGGAAACTTTTGAACACAATTATTACTTCTCAACGCTTCATCCAG